GGCTATTAAGCCCAAAACAATATTTTTCTCACACAAAAACCCTTACTTAAATGCTAAAATAGCATAAAATTTTGGGGTATTACATCCACCCCTCCTAAAAAGGAGTTTTGTCCCCAAAACTCAAATTGAGGACCATATCAAGTGGTGAGTGGCTTCACACAATTCGAGACAAAACAATTGCCTCATCACTTTCTAGGAACAGAACACGGCCTATTACGCTTCCGCTACGCCACTCTGATATCAATCCACAACTAATCTTAAAAAGCAGAACACTAGCTACTTAACAGGGTTTACCATGAAACAAGCTACTAGAGGCTGAGGTAATACAGAAAGCACAAGGAATAAAATAAATCCTGCCAAAGCCACAAAAGAACAATTGTGGGGTTACGCTACGAACCCATCACAAGACGAGTTGGCAAAGAATGGCATGGATTTAAAGACAAGTACAACAAAACTTTGAACTCTATCAAAGACGGATAAGCATCCAATGGATATACGAATCATGAATGAATGAACCAGTACATGGATGCCTTATAAATTATGCCACAAAACAAGGTTAACCCATAAGCAGGGTCATGTTTAACAAAGCAATTGGAATCAAGAAACAGATTTTAGCAATTAACAAGGCTAGGACCATCAAAAGACATATAAGAATCTCAAGAATGGCAACAGAATAAAATCAATAGAAAATATGAATGTTTGGAAGAATACTGAAACATAAGAGTGCAAGGTAGAATGCCTCAAAGAATTCAACAACAAAATGGCATTCACCAAGAATCAAGATCAAATTTAACCAAGCAGTCAAAATTGAGAGACGAGTTAACCACGAAACAAGCAATAGAATTCAAGGATTAGGCCCACAACAGAGATTTCAATAATGACAATGAGAACAAGAATTCAGGAGCAGATATAATCAGGAGATCAAGATCTAGCACCTCAAGTACTAGAATTGATTAACAGAACAAAGCAATGGCTGGGATCAAGATGCTTAGAAGATTCATGTCTTCCAATTAAAAGGGCAAACAAAAATCCAAGTAGCCAGATCAAAGAACCATTTCACTTGGAACAAAACTCTAGGGCATCAAGTATTTCAAGGACTACCCCTTTACCTCGTAGTTCATGGAGGCTAAGCAGGTTTACAATCAAGTCATCCTAGACATCTTAGAGTTAAGTCAAAGCTAAGGCATCAAGAATACAGAATTTAACACTTGCAAGAGACAAGAATTTAGAATACCTCATATAGGTATTTTCTAAGAATCATCACCCCTCCTAAGAGGTGTCCATATGAACAAAATCAAAATCAAGAAGATCAAGAAGTATACAGAAACAAGAACAAGCAGAATATGCAAGATTTGAGCAAGAGCAGTATACAAAATTTGAACAAGAGCAAGAGTCAGAACAAGAATGATTTTCCAAGGACAATTCAAAATAGATTCCAAGAACAGTGCATGAATTAATTTCAGACAAGCATGAAGATAATGAGGATTTCAATAATCATTATCCATTTTCTTTGGATTTCAATTTCAAGAACAAGTACAAAGCAATATCAAGAAAGATTCAATATGGATTTCAAGAGTTTCAAGCAATCTCAGGTATCAAGAAGGTAGAGATTGGCAACAATAGAGAGTTTAACTTTATGATAGCTTGCCAATCTTCACAAAAAGACAACAATTTCAATTGAATAATCACTGCTCTTGATTAACCAATACAGAAAAATGAGCCACATGAAAAGACCACGAAGCTCCAAATGGAAAAGTGAAATTTCACTATAAGACTTTCAGAAAATAAGGAGCAATGAAATTACCAAGTAATCCAGCTCCTAAAACGCATCTAGAAAAACACACAACATTTGCTAAAGTAGCCTTGAATCTCTTGCAAAGTAAAGGGTTTACCCATCCTCCACTGGTCATGTGACAGACAGAACAGATTTCTCAACCAGCTATGCTGTAGAGACAAACAAAGTCCATAACAAAAGATCTCTACAACTCCCCAGATTTCAAAATTGTGGCAAAAGAGCATACAAGAATTCTATTCACGTAACAAGCCTAAACAAGTGCGGACTATCAGAAAATGACCAAGTTTCAAAACAAAGTCTTAAGAACATGGCGGACAAGATTAATCTCATGGATCTACACAGGGTATATAAAGACAGGAAACAAGAACAATCAGATATCCATCTCATCGAAATGGATGAGAAAATTCAGGCAACATGAATCAGAATCGTCCCTTATATAACCCCATCACTCATCTCACCACGGGTCTAAAATCCATTGGCTAGCCAAGTCCAAAACAAATCCTAGGTATTCAATTAAACCTAGGCTCGGATATCACTCAATCTGCTCTGATGCCACTCAATCTGGAGGTGCTTAATTCAAACCTAAGCTCTTAATTTAAACCTAAACTCTTAATTTAAACCTAAGCTCTGATACCACAAAATCTGTCACGCCCCAAAACCCAATTTCGAGACGCGACAGACGCCGTGCACTCGTGAGACGGGTCCCACAAATGCACGAGGCTCGGAACTTATCATATCACACTCTGATACCATCAAAATCTGAAGATCAAATCTTTAAAATTTACTCTGATATCATAAGTCTCCAATAATATCTCCAAATACAAGATCATGATTTGTTTCTAAAATTCATATCAAATTACAATATGGCTAGCCTTCTAACTCGTCACTTCCCATGGTTTCCCTGTCCTCGGTTTCACTTCCTGAAATGGTGGAAAAGGAAAAACTATGAGATAAACTCAGTAAGTAAATATGGAGTGCCTTTAATTAAACTTATAGCATGCCAACAAGTACAATCACGAAAAACGGATACAGTACGGGCACGAAATAAACGTCTCCTCCATAGGTCACGGCCAATGTTTAACACTCCCACTGGCAGGCAACAGGAATTGCTAGTGTTTAACTCCCACTAGCAGGATAACAGAAACGAACCGGTTCTACAGAAATACATGTCGACATGTGCTAGCGTTTAACACTCCCACTAGCGGGCAACAGGATAACATGACCATATCGGAGACAAAACAGGCTGAAGTTAACAGGAAAATCACAATTCACAATCACTTTCAGATCATCAGGACAATCACTTAAATTTCAAGTAGGCATGCTCAATTTAATGAAAAGCATAAAACATTTCACTCCAAATCAGTCATACTTGTGTAAAACGGGTTTAGTCCCACCACCATTTCAAAAACAAATCAAAACATGCTTGAAAAGTCGAAGGGCGTTACCATAATTTTACTTACCTCACTCGCATAAAACCGAGCACTAAAGTCACGCACTAACTGACAGAACGATCGGGAACCTAATCAAAACACCTCAGAATTAATACCGGACTATCACAAATTCAAGGTAAACTCATCATTAGGATCATTCCTAATCACAATGCTATTTCCATAAATCTCCATATGATCAAATATCTCCAAATTGGTTCTTATATCACAAACTAATCACTTAAATTCCCGTTAAATGTTGGCCCTCGGGGTGTGAACAGTAACCGGTGAATAGTGACCCCGACGTGAACAGTGACCCCGACGTGAACAGTAACTCCACTTCCACAAATTGGCCAAAACACTAACTAATCTCACGGGATTTTCCTCCAAAAATCACATAGCAGTCCATTAACACTCAATCATATAAATTCCACTTGAATCAAGCTAAATCATGGTCTAATTACTATCAATTTCTCCCCTATTTTTCCGTCAAATTCGGACAACACAGCCAGCAAACTAAATGGCTAATTTAAGCCTTAAAAGGCTGTCACATACCATAATTTAGCAAGCAAAACCGAGCTGCAGTTTGGGAGAGAAGCCGACAGCAAGGAAGGAAAATTCTGTAGGGGACTCACGGTTTAACCCAAAATTAAAGGAGCCCAACTTAATTCAAAGCTAAAGAAGGGAGAATTCGAGCTATTTCTTACCAAGAAAGACTGAAAATCACACCCGCAAGCAAGAGCAGCCGGCGGACAGGGAAGGAAGAACAGAGCAGATCTGGGAACTCCTGTAGGGGGGAGAATTTCTGGGTTCCAATCTGTGTTTTAGAGCAAGAAAAGAAGGCCAAAACCAAGCTTCCTTACCAATTTTCCAAGGCATGGCTGGCTTCTCTTTCTTTTTTCTTCGGGTGGCTGCAGCGGGAAGAAATGAGAAGAAGAGCAGAATCGGGCTGGAGAAGAAGAAAGAAGGAAAGAAAAAGGAGAAAAAGAAAAGAAGTCATCCTTATCCAAAATCTTTCCCTCTTTAAGTCCCTCAAGTTTGGACATTTTGGCTATTAAGCCCAAAACAATATTTTTCTCACACAAAAACCCTTACTTAAATGCTAAAATATCATAAAATTTTGGGGTATTACAGTTAGCAAAGCTTGAAAGCAAAAGAAACAATGATAAGCAACAGCATGTGAGGAAAGCATATGTGTGCAAGTAAATTTTTTGTTTTTGTTTTTTTTGTTTTTTTTTTTTTCATATTAATGGCATCAAATGATGTCTCAATGGTGAATGATGGTTTGGACAATGATTAACAAGAAGACTTGCATCAAGTTTAATGGATGGTGATATGGCAACATGTGAGACTGAATTGTAAAGATTGGAAAACTAATTAGTATGATAGCAAATATTTCAGAGAATATAAAAGAGCTTGTTATTCCCTCCTTTCATGTAGCCACAAGTTGAGCTACTAGAAAGCTGACTTATCCTACTTATGGATGAAAGAAGCAGAGAAAAAGCTTGACTGTCCAATTGGTCAAAGTGCCCCCAAGGTAGAAGTAATGGTTATGTCAAATAGGAGTTCATCCTTAAGAGCAATAATACTCAAATTTCCCCATATCCTAGATTTGCCCCCTCATTCATTGAATCTAAATCCACATGTCTCGTAAGTAAGTCCACTTCAACATCATATTTTGGTGAGCTTATAAGAGCACACTAAAGGTTGCCTTTTAGATGGATGATGCATTGCTCCAAATAAAGAGGAAACATAGGGAGACTATCATGCCTAATTTTTTTTTTTCTATAGTAGTTTATGAAGCCTACCTACAAAGTAAAAGAAAAATAAACAAAGTCAGAATAATGTTAGAAGTCATCTATAATTTTGCATGATTTAGTGCTTCAACAATTGCTATATGGATTCACACATTGTTGATTTCCAATCCTTAAGGAGCCTCGGATGAAGGAAAATATCTTTGAACACCTTGAGATTTCCATAAACTCCAAGGGCTATAGAAAAGACACTTACAAGCAGTTCAACATGCATTACAAAGATGGTTATTCATTACAAGCAGAAGCCTAGTACATCACACTAAGTACATCAACATGGTAGCATTCAAGTCCCTAGTAAAATATGACTCCTAGATTTTCAAAGTACAATTGTCTAATGAGGAGTAGCATTCTTTTCCTTGAAGAATCCCTTGATTGCTAAAGCCATATAAAGTGCAATATGCTTGAGCTTTTGATCTTCAAGGCTGCTCTTGGTTCTTGTCCTTCTAAGCTTGCCCCTTGGACTTAGCAATTGTCAATGACGGGAGAAAAATGCTTGCAGTTGAAGATCTCCTAAATCCTTTGTTGGTCAAAGCTTTCTCCATGGATGAATATTTCAAAAGTGTCTTGATTGACAAAGATTCGCACTTGACTATGTATGAATCCATATTTCAATTATTGAAGATAATCAAACAAGATTATGGGAATGCAAGGCAAGAAATAAACATGGATGCTAAACAATAGATGAAGGATGTTGGAAGATACATTTGCTCTAAAGTGATAATGTGTGTGGAGTTGTATCCTAAAGCATGCATTTTAGGGAATCTAAGAAAAGAAATAAATGTGGATGGAAAACAAGAGATTAAGGATGCAAAAGCATAAATATGCTTAAGAGTGGTAATGTGTGTGAAGTTGTATCTTAAAACATGAATTTTTCTTCATTAAGTATGCCAAGCAAGTCTCAAAGGAGAAGTTGATGATTCACCATTGCAACCATTAAGTTAGCATTCATAGGAAAGATTGTCCCTTTGAAAAAGAGCAAATCCCATGAAGCTTGAAGAAAAAGTGAATGAGGAGATGCTTGGAGAAAATGATGACATGATGCTCCAAAGTTATGTGCTTAAATTATTTTGATGTCTAAAAGATGGATTTTTCATGAATTTATCTTGGAAGAACCTCTTTTTATCTTTTTTGTTTTTTTTTTCCCTTTTTTTTTATTTTTTAAATGTGAAATGCTTTGGATTCGGTTGAATAAGACCCATAAGTTTGAAACATGTAAGTATGAATTTCTTGTAGAAAAATGCAAATGGTGAGAACTTTGAATGAGAGTTTGGACAAATTTTTTTTTTAATTTTTTTTTTTGAAAATCATGACTTGAAGGACTTGATTGAAGAACAAGAAAATATGAGGATCAAATTTGATTTTATTCTAAACATGAAATGAGCATGAGATGAATGTCAATTTGACATGGGATGGAAAATGTGATGTAAGGTTGAATATGAGTTGCAATGAAAAATGGGATTGAATGAGAACTGAACATGGACAAGATTTCCATTTTTATGTAATTTTTTTTATAACGTGTGGGACATATGAGAAATATAGGATAGATAGAGATAATAATACTTGAAATGAAATGTGAAATGCAATGCAAAAATGCATGTGAATGAAATTTCCATTTTCATTTTTATGCACTTGTTTTTGAACTATGAAATGGAAATAGTGATGGTTGAAATGAAATATGTGATGAAAAAGGGAATGTGAAATGAACATGGAAGAAATTTTCATTTTCATGCCTCTTTTTTTTTTTTTTTCGTGAAATGTAAAAAGGATCAGATGAAGAAATATGAGAGGAAAACTAGCATTATGGATAAAATTTTCATTTTTTTCATTTTTCACCATTTTAAAATTTTTTTATGTAACTTTTATGAAATATGGGAAATATGAGATAGAGATAATAATGCTTGGAATGAAAATTTGAGATAGAAAATGCAATGTGAGATGCAGGTGAATGAGATTTTTTAAAAATATTTTTACGCAATTTTTTTATGAGATGGGAGATGTAATGTAATGAACATGAGTGGAATTTCATTTTTTTTGTAAATTTTTGTGAAATATGAGATGAAAAATGGGATTTAAAAGGAATATGATGAAGAATGCCCCACAAGACGAACATGAAAACATATTTTGTGACGCATGAGATGGAAGATGCAATACAATGGACATACGTGAAATTTTTAAGACATATGGAAGATTTAATGTGAAATGAATGGGATGGAAATTTGACATGTGAAACAATCATGAACTCTTTCTTCTTCTTTTTATTTTTTTATTTTATTATTATTATTTTTTTATGCATGGGGTTCAAAGTGAAGATACCAAGTGCATGGAATGCTCCTTACCTCAAGAATGATGTCTAAATGCAAAAGATGAATAACTAATCATACCTCAAATGTATATAAAAACGAAAACCTATCATATACAGAGACAAGGTTAGTGAAGTAAAATGCCCCTTTTGTGTCTTAAACACGGGATGCCTAACCTCACGGGTAAGATGCTAAGGGAAACATGTCCTAGGGTTGGTATCTCTTTAAAGCTAATACATGTTTTCCTAAAGGGCATTAGGCCTTCTCAACCATTTATCCTTTTGGAATCAACAGGAGATATTTCCAAAAGCTAATACACAGAATGATATTACATTATCAAGTGTCGTATTAACCAATGGAAACAACTTAACGGGAATCGATCTTAATCCTTAAAGCAGGAAGAATTGCTCTTCCAAGCTAGATTCATAAGGATTCCAGACTAGAGGTCAAGTTCACCTCTGACACAAACCTAATGCAAAATGAGAAAGTGTGTGTGCAAGGGGCATGACACTCCAATAACCTGCACAATGGCAACCACAAAAACAACAACATGTATCTCACGGCAATCAAATAAAGCATGTAAAGCACTCAACAAATATATCATCCACAAACAAACCTACTTACATAAAAGGAAGGGACTCACCTAGTACTCCCATGCCAAATGCAAAAGGTTAGTAACACAAAACAACTAACACTTAGCATGGAACAAGATATAAATAATTACACAAGAGGGAAGAGACTTACTAAGTACTCCATAGCCAAGTGTAAAAGGTGAGTATATCCACACATAAGCAAGTAGGCATGTAAGCATGATGTGTGATGAATAAGTATATAATGTCAATGATGGATGAGCATGTGAGATGATATGATGCATGAACATGTAAGCAAGGTATGATGCATGTCAAGATGTAGCAAGGTAACTACTCAAAGACAAAAAGGATCAAAGCAACCACTAAAACAATGAGCAAACAAGCAATAAGCAACAAGCAACACGCGACAAGCACATACAATAAATAACAAAGACTCACAAAGACTCAACAAACAAAGAAAAATCAAAAGTTGAAAATTCCCCAAAGTAAAGTATTAGCTCGACCCTCGTAAACCCAGAATATGGAAACCAGAGATTATGGGTTCTGTCCTTAGTGGAGTCGCCAATCTATTGACGACCACTTAAGATTGTTTCAAAATAAATGAAAAATTAAGTGTGAAATATATAAGTAAAGGGGAGTCGCCACTCGTCCAAGTTATAAGGTGGGACAAGTCACCTAAAACGGGTCTGCGCAAAGATCAGGATTCGGGGGTTCGGTTAGGAGTGAGGAAGGGCATACGCGCACCTCACAATCCTCCGTTTAAACACGGTTGCATACTTTAAAATTTGGGATTTTGATTCAACTTATTCATCATGTTTATATTTGGGTCTTAATAAACAAGCGTGAAAAGGAGATAAACCAAATTGCAACATTTTTAACCTTTTGGACTAAAATGGACAAAATCAAAGGCATGCATGCACAGTGAACACAAGTAAAAATTAAAAGGGTCTAGTTTAATTAAATTCAAAAGATTGATTTGACAAAATTTGAAACATGGAGGACTGATTTGAAAAGAGTTAAACCCTTGGACTAAATTGCTTAATCACAAAAGGTTTGTGCGAAATTGAAATAAAAGACATAACTTTTGATTTTTTTTTTTAATGAGATTAAGGCAAATAGAAGATTATAAATTAATTAATTAAGATAATTAATTTAACTAAATGATTAATTTAATATTAATTAAAATTAATTAATCATATTTATTAATCTTTAACTAAGATAATTAAATGAATCCAATTATCTCAAATTAAAGCTAATAAACATGATTAATTTATTTTAATTAAAATTTATTAATTTCAATAAACATAAATTAAACTAATTAACCTAATCAATTTATCATTTTATTTACATATATATTTTTACCTTTTTCACTTTTTTTAGTTTTTTTTTTTTTTTTTTTGTAAAGACCTACTGGATCGGGTCGGGTTTACTTGACCCAAAAACACGAACCACCAACTAAAATGAGCGAAAGCAGATTAAAATCTAAACAAAAAGCAAAGGAATTTAAGGTTCTCGTTCGGCCATTCAATGGAACAAACAAAGAAAGCGAATAAACATCCATTCAAATTTAGATCCATGAAATTCAAGCTTGATTTCATTCACAATATCATCACCTAATACAATTTCAGCATGCCAAACCTAAAAAAGTTAAAACAGACATGGCGAAAATCTTTGAAGAAAACAGATCAGAATCGGAGAGAGGGATCCCACCCACGGGATCAAGCTCCAACCCTCTCCCTCACTGTCTTTCCCAAAAACCTTCTTTGATCAGAAAAATTACCTAAAAGAAACAAACGCAGAAGATGCACAATCTCCTTCGGTGAGCTCTACTGACTGGCAATACCAAACTCAGACAAAAGAAAAACCCCCAAAATAAACCAAAATCAATCAAAGACTCTCCAAAATCAAACTCCAAATCCCCCCAAAGCAAACTCCAAAACTTCACCAACCACAGACCCCCCCTCTTCTCCTCGGGATTTCCTTCTTCTGCTCTCAAAAGCCCAAACGTGACTCCCCAAAACCAGATCCAGAAATCAACCAAAGAACCCCCCCGCCTTTGATCTGATTTTTTTTTGCTATATATATCTGTTGGAATAGGCCCAACAGGCCCAATACCCAAACAGGGCTGTGCATAACAGGCCTAGGTTACCACCCATTAGCCCAAGCTGAAGAAGCATCAGTACAAGCATACCCA